TTTTTGTCTGAATGCAGCCCCAGGCAATTCCGGTTATAGTTGATAGTAAAGTTATAAAATAAATACATCATTTATTTCAACAAGATTCATCCAATTGGGCAACTTTTATAAAGTATCTTTAAAGACAGAAGAGTTATCCTTGATTTACCACAATGGCTCCGTAAAACACGAAAGATTCATAAAAATGTACTTTTTTTATCTCGTAAAATTTGTTAAATTGTTGTTGTATTCCAATAAAAAGATGGTATATAACTTTTAAAATACTTTTTATAAAGAATTAACATAAGTTTACACGGGAAAATAAGAGATTCAAACAGAAATAATATACGCACCTGAACTGCACTTTTACCGCATTCATTTTATTTATAGGTACCCTCCTCGGTTAAAACCAGGACGGCTGCCACGGCGTCTTTTGTGTCTTTATTAGTTGCAGTGAATTAGGGTTTAGGGTTAGGTTTAGGGATCGATTTAGGGTTCAGGTTAGGCATAGGTATCAATTTAGGGTTCAGTGTTCAGGTTAGGCATAGGCATGCCATAGGCTATGGCTATAGGCCATACCCATAGGCATAGGGATCGATTTAGGGTTCAGGTTAGGCATAGGGATCGATTTAGGGTTCAGGTTAGGCATAGGGATTGATTTAGGGATACATTCGTGAAATTCGATAAAAAAGTGGCAGGCGTCCCCATTTTTAAACCCCTCCTCAATCATTTTCATTGCTTACTACTTATTATTATATTATTTATATTACTTAGGACTTATAATAAGTACTTACAGTGGTAATAAATTTCTCAAGAATCAGTACAGCTTCTGCTTCAGAGCAACTATTGAGCGTTTTAAGCTCACTAAATTCCATTGTATGCTAAGTGTTCTTTATAATGGCTTGATTATAAAGACTGAAAAACAGATTTGTTTCTACAATGTTATCGTGTTTATGAGGAGCACTTTGGCATCCATAATGATATCCATGTAAGGCCAGGGAAACAAACACTTTTGATGACTAAGAAATGCAACAATGATTCTTATGAAATTTATATGATCTAATTATAATCAAAGAACCCTATCGAAACACAGCAAATTGGTACATAAATTATGTAAATTAATCTATCAACAAATGAAAAAATATAGATTAAGATATTTTAAAATCGTACAAAAAGTAACAAAATTCATGGCTCAAGAAGTTATTGTGCAGAAATAAAAAAATTAGAAACAATTATTTTCTATCAAAATGATAAAGGCTAAATTTGTTCAATAATAAATAATAAAGTTTAAATGGTTATTTGCAATAAAACGTTATCGTTATCTAAATTAATGCACCTTTCTAATTTTCTGATAAAATTAATGTTCCAACTGGCAAATAATTGCTTTGCTGCTGATAATCGATACAGGAGAGACAACTCAATTAGATACAAATAAACAAAACCTTTTTTAAAAAAATGTAACCTGAAAATTATTTAATTCTTAAATTTAAATGAAATAAAATGTAATTTTTATTATTAATTTCTTTAATTAATTTCCTTTAAATGATCAAATCTAAATATATTAAACGCGGAACTGGTCACCAAGGCGAACTAAACAAATAGCAAAGATGGCTGACTTGGACAGAGAAGCCAAGTCAACTGTGAATCAATTGCGTTCAGCAGACAGTCGAACATCTAGGTTTGGGTTTTTTGTTTAAAATTAATACATAATAGGTTCTTAAAATAAACTGAATGAAATTTGGAAAAAAACAGTTGTCACTGCAATAACTTTAATGATAATGTTATGCAACTTTTATTTTCAGTATTAATTAATTATTAATATTTATATAATATTATCCCTAATTATTAATGATTACTAAGTAGTAAAGTGATAAGTAAAGTAAGTACTAAATAAGTCGTATTGAAATTTCTAATTTTAATTTTTTTTAAATCCAGATCATTCAATTTTAAATAAATTATAACTTATCTAGCTATGAAATATGCATTACTCATTATACAACATTAGGTAAATTTTGACTATGATTACCACTATTTTCTCAATGGCCGCCATCTTGGTTAACACGTAAGGTGAAGTCATCTATCCCTATGCCTAACCTGAAACCCTAAATCGATCCCCATGCCTAACCTGAAACCCTAAATCAATCCCTATGCCTAACCTGAACCCTAAATCGATCCTTAAAATAATTTAGTAAAAATAAACAAAGGGAAGTCACTCCCTGGAAAATAAGTCATGGCAATCGTAACTAGGATTAGCCCAACATTAGATACGACATGGACCATGACCATGGATGTTTTGTTTACCAAGTATAGAATTATTTTTTATATTTGTAGTAAATATTACATTAAGATAACAATTATCTATATAAAGCAAGCCTGCACAACTCAAAATGTAAGGCGGGCCGTAATACTTTATAAAAAACTTTTGCGGGCCGAAAGAAAATAAGACAGGACTTGTGTGGCCAAAACAAAATAGGACAGGGGGGAAAGCTATTAAGAAAATAATAAGAATAAAGACTTTGCGGAACACAAAGGGGGTGATGGGGGGGCCGCATGCGACCCCCGGGCTGTATATTGTGCAGGCCAGACATAAAGCATTGTAAGGCAAGGCGTACCTTAAAAATAACATTGGTTTTGGACTAGTTATTTTGAACAACTTTTGCACATGTCTAATTAACCCTCGAACTGTGGCATGCATCATTCTGTGGTGTGGAGCTTTACAGAGCTTTTTGAGTGCCTTTTGAAATTGCATTAAATGACATAGAAATATTGATGGAAGACCCCAATAATGATATGTTTTTAGAAAGGTAAATGGATGGGGATAAAGTTGGCTATATTGCCCACCCCGTAAAAAAAATTGTGTTCAATGTCCTTGACCTTGGAATGCTCAAGAAAATAAAAATCGACAAAATGTCTTGCTTTCAAATGCTCATAACATCATTAATTTTTAATGATACACTTAAAACATAATCTAAATGTTGTAGCCAATTCATTTATTTATCAGAAAATGTATAGTTTGCTAAGGTTTTGATTACAATTAAACCTCCGAAAGCAATTTTAGTAATTTTAGGTCATTTATGTAAGAAACTGGGACCACAGCTAAAACCAAGTACAAAATACGAAATCTCAGGTAAAATAGTTTTTATTGACTAGTAAACATTTAAAAAGGAACTGTGGAACGGATTTGGGTTGTTTAACTATAAAATTTATTAGTTCTGATCTATAATCTGTAGCTTCTGTGACTAAAATTCAGTCAGTCCTTACCCAACCTCCGTGCCTGGCTCGGAGTCTCACAGTAGCCTCAGTAGGCCTACTTCAGTATCACTAAGACTAGTATCAGATTCACGAAAAGAAGAATCTGAAGTGAGATGTCATGGAGAATGTAAAAATCATCATCAGTATCACTTAAATCCTCTCCTAAAAGCTTTCAAAAATATTTATATTAGTTCTCGTACTGAAGGCGCTCGCAGTAAGGGGCAAGGTGGGGCACTCCCCCCCCCCGGATTGATTGGACAAAAATTTTTTAGACAAAAATAGACAAAAAATGTATTAAAGTAAAGAGAAAATAAAGAGAAAGTAACTAAATAAAGAGAAAGTAACTAAGCTGATGTCCTGTCCGTTCGTTCACCATACCAATACGCTGCAGTAAATTAAAACTACATTTAAAACATTACTAAAAAATTTTTACCCCCCCCCCCCCAGGAAAGTTAATTGATTTTTTTTGCCCCCCCCCACCCCTAGAAAGTTTTCTGCGGGCGCCCATGCCCCGGCCATAGCATCCGCCATTTTAGCTTTAAAAAAAAAACGGCGATATAAAATTGCGATTACAAAGTACTTATTATTAAGTTATTAAGAAACAGCTTGACCCGGGAGTTGATTTAATTATTAATAAAAGGAAGTGGCTATGATTTTGGTTAAATATTCGATTGGAAGTTGCTATCGGACCGTGTTTTTTATCGGCCGATTTTTTCGGCCCCCACAGCACAGAACGAGAATATTGGCCAATTTTGTCGGCCGCCCACAGTCTAAGGGTTAAATAAAGCTTACTATTTCTATGACCAAGTACTTATTAGTGTTTGCATAAGGCACATTCATTCTATTATGAATCATGAATGAAACTATGAGAATAATACTATAGACTATAAGTATAGCACATGCAAGTGACTGTAAATGGCTGCTCATAACAATGTTTTGCGCACTGCAAATTATGATCATTTATCTACTGGGTTTTTAAACCTCAAATTAAAATATTCTGGTTTAAATCACTTCTAAGTTCATTCTAAAACACAAGTTATCAACTATTTTGATGTAAATTAAAAATACTAAATGGTGGCAATAATTGAATATTTTCCAAGTATTGGCATCTTATGCCATTAAAAAGGGGGCGTGGTCAAAATAGGGTGGAGAGACCTAATGATAATGCAGGTTACTGGGACTATCAAAAAAGGCTAAACAGTACTTTGTAATGCAGGTCAAGATGTCCCTTATTCAGAACATTTGAAAGAATACCACAATTTTATGACAAAATAGTCCTTTCATTATTAAAAATGCACCAACTTCCAAAAATTAAAAATTTGTATTATCCTTTGCTGACTCCCATTTCGCATAGAAAGTTTGAAGTAGTGTCCCATGCTTTACAGATAATCCTATTTATACTTAATTAGAGGCAAAAATCCTGGGTGGCCGAGCGGTCTAAACTGACTAAATCCAAATGCCAAGACAAGCAAAAACATCCCACGCACCCAGGGTGGATGGGACTCGTCCTTGGACAGCAACTCATCTATGAGAAAGCAAACTCTGAATTCAAACCCTGAGCCAGAAGGATCAATAAATTGATCATGAGCCCTCAAATATAGATATAGAGAGATTACTTAATGTAATTTCATGCAATTGTTCAGGGATTTAATAAAAAAAATGTTTTAAATTTGGTAACTGGGGAAGGGAACAATGTGGTTTGATGAGGATTTAAATTGTCATCCAAGACTAGGCTTTCCCACAAATTTCAGCATAGAAGACAATAATGGAAAATTGGTCAAAATTTTTTAAGGAAATAATATACATTAACCAGCAGACTCAGATGGTCACAACAATCACAGCAAATTTATGTGTCTCTCTTAAAAGAACTTTGTAATGGGCTGTGGTTAAGATTTCAGAGTTTTTGAAAATATTCAAATAGTTAGTATTGTGTAATTTTTAATAGTATCCTTGATCTGCCAAACTCTAAGCCTGAAATTTTTTTGGGGCATCCATCTGATATTTTTCTTTAGGAAGATAAGCTGGTTCCCCAGACAGCAAACCACCTCTCTCCCTGCATTTGGTAAACCCAAGGGAACCTCATGTGTGGATGATACAGCTTGGCAACAGTAGCATTGCAGGAGTTTAAATTCAGAGTTTTTCTTCTCTTAGATGAGTTACCATCCAAATTTAATGATTCCTATCCACCTGGAATGCCACTGGTGTTGTTTTTGATTGACTAATATTTTTCTGTGGATTGAACTCCAGTCCAAAAGCTTGGAATTGATGCAGTTGTGACTGTGAAGCCATCGAGTCTGAACTATTAAAATTAATATAAGCTAGCAGTTCTGAATAGTAAAATGATGATCAGAAATTTAAAATTATGGGGACATCCCAAATGATTGAGCAATCTCTTGTTATTTTTATGCTTTGGTTTTTTTATAATTTGTCCCAAATAAAATGATTCTTTAATGAACTAATAAATCACTATAAGGAATATATAGAGATTATCTTTGATTTGATTGTACAGGTGTCGATATTATAAAAAAAAGTTTAAAGTTGATAATTGTCCAGGTCAGTCCAAGAACAATCTTTGATAGTATCTTTGACAAATCTTTTTTTTCTTTCTATTTATAGGTTCAGTCAAAAGGCAAACTTAAAATCAAACCGTCCCCAAATACCAGACAATGCATGTCTCTTTAGCAAAAGTAAATCAGATCTTATTAGTTATGAGAACTTACTTGTCAACCAGTATCTGAGTGAGTTGAGGTACCAGAGAGTAGAAAGTCATTCAAATAAATTGCAGTAAGTTGTTCAGATTGTAAATAGGGTATAAGCCATGGCTCTATCTGTAATAAGGCCTAAATGTAAACTAAACAATTGTGCATTTTCTATTTTTATTAAATGCTTTTCAAATATTTTTATTGAAATAATTCAACATAAAACAATTTAATAGGCTACTTTAATAGAAAATAGTTTCCAATATTTATTTTTGACAGTTTCTTGTTTAGCCAACATTTTAAGAACAATAGCTTACATTTTTTTTAAAATCAGCATCATCTGAAAATTTATCTCAGACATTTAATCTCTCCTACTGATTTAACAACAACCATCTTCAAACTTTTTCTCATTTCAGAGCTCCTGTTTCACCTTATCTTCAAAGACTACATAGTTCACAAATTCAACATGGAAGAAGGAGGTACAGGCCTTCATCAGCAACAGTTTGTCGACCTTGTTCTGCACATGGAAAAGCAGATGGTAGGCGTCCTGATTTCAATGCTTTGGATCAGAATAATTCCAAAGCCATTTGCTGCTGCTCTTGCAAAACATTAGAGAAACCAAAGATTGATGCCAGATTTATTGCTGACCCAAATTTGTGGGATCCAGCTACACCAAGAGTGACCCGTTTTGCAAGGCCATCCAGTGCCCCAGTAAAAAGGCTCAGGTAGGATGAGCTAATAACATAAGAATAAAACGAAAGTCTCAGATAAAATTGAGTGAAACAATTTTTTTTTAAAATAGTATTATCTATTTACTCATAAAGAAAATTATTTTAAAATTCATTCATTTAAAAAAAAAAAATATATATATAAATCTGTTTTGTTATTTTTTGTGATGAACTATACTTGTATAAAGAATTCATGGTCATGTGATTGTTTTCCAGACCACCTTCAGGCAATACTCAAAGGTTTAGGCCTTCATCGGGTAAGATGCACATAAAACTTTAAGGAATAAAATCTAAAATACCACTAAAAAATGACAAAATATTCAGATTTTGTAAAAGAGAATGACTAAAAAATATTAACTTTCACAGGACACAAATCAGTATACAGAATACAACCAACTGTAATAAAAGTATTAGCCTACATTAATGGATCCAGAGAAAAATGTGTCCATTTAGCTGCATCAACAGTTAAAATTGTAAGTATTAAGGTCTATTTGAAGTCTACTGTGTTTAAACATCAACATTAAAAAAATTCCCAGTAAATTTAGTAAGGGTAATCTTTATTTTCAATTTCTATTTGCAGGGAAATATAGTGTGCAATAATTATAATTTTTTTGTAAATGATAGGAATGAAAATGTTGATAACTAATATTTATCACTGATTGTGTCGGCTGTCATCAAGCTAAAACTTCTCTATGTATCTAAAATTCTATAAAGCGCAATGATTCTAATATTTTTAAATTCTTCATTTCAAAGCTTTTAGAAGTAGCTACAGAAAAGCTTGGTCTACCATTTGCTGCAAGAAGAATTTTTCTTGAAAGTGGTGTGGAAGTCTTCAGAGCAGAAGATATTCCAGCAGAGAATGAAATTTATATTTCTATGGGAGAACCATACAAGAATCCATACCAAACAACTAAAAGTAAATATTTGAGATTTTTTAAAAAGAGGAATAGCAAGATATTAAAAACTATTAAAAAAATTATAGAATATTAGTGATGTATCCTTGACTTAAAGATATTTTAGTCATAGACAATTTAAAAATATATAAATTTCCACAATTAAAAACATTAAACACTTAAATGAAATGACATTTAAAGCATTTCAGAACTATTCTTCATTTACCTTTTAGGCAATTTTAACCTAAACAGCATAAGTATTTTTAAATATTTTTTAGGGACAATGATTGTACGAAACAGTTCTGTGTGGACCCTCTCTGGAATAATGCTATCAGAGAAGGGAAGAAGAAAAGGAACTAGAATAAAGATGTCTAAACGTATGCGGTAAGATTGCATTAAAAAACTTAACAGTTCTTATTAAAAAGAAATATATTAAAATTTCTCTTTCCAGAACCTTAGGACAACTTGCCCCATGCATAAATTCCTCTGATTTATTCCAAATTAAACATGGAAAAAAGCTAGATTTCTTTCACCACTGTCTGGATTAAGTTAACGGCCTGCTAAAAGTTTGGAATGCATGACATTAAATGAAAGACAGATGAAATATTAACTGAAAAAATCAGATCTTCTAATTTAACGTTTTGGTCAAATAAATTTAAAATATTCCTGTACAGTAACAAAACTTTGAGTCCATTACTTAACCTGACAGTTGTGTGTACCTAACTTACTCTTGGATTTTATTTCTGAACTTATGACAACACTCCTAGTTATCAAATAGTAAACAATCATTTAATCAGTTTAATTAAAACGCATATTGCTTACATATATATGCCAGGAAAAGGGTGAGGCAAATGAGCCACTGAGACAGGGTGCCAAAGTAAGGGTGAGGCAAATGAGCCACTGAGACAGGGTGCCAAAGTAAGGGTGAGGCAAATGAGCCACTGAGACAGGGTGCCAAAGTGATGCAAAATGCTTATTAGAAATTAAAAAACAAGACAAATAGGGGCAAAAATACCTCTAAGCCTGTCTCTGATCTATTTATTATTCTGTTATGTTGGTAACTATATATTTTTATATCGCATGATACCTATACTAGAGTTATATTAATAATTACTTAAATTTAATTAAAATTAATTATTGTTGAGAAAAAACAGTTATAATAGATCAACATCAACTTTTTGGTCTCATTTCTTATAAATTAAACAATTTATTGGCATAAATACTGTGGATTTTTAAAAACAATTAGTTCAACTTATTCTGTCGTCTTGTGATGAGGGCCAGGTATCGATTTTGTCTTTACTCGATCTATCGGCAGCTTTCGATACGCTCGACCACGGCATACTGCTCCAGCGTCTGCAACAAACATTCGGTCTCACTGATACCGTCCTGTGTTGGTTCCGATCATATTTGACTAATCGGGTGCAGTCAGTTATTTCAAACGGCTTGACCTCGAAGAAATCTAATATCGAATTCGGAGTACCCCAGGGCTCGGTCCTAGGCCCGATGCTTTTCACGATGTACATTCAGCCCCTGGGTGCAGAGATCAGGCAGTTTGACATGTTGTATCACATGTTTGCGGACGATACACAACTTCATCAATCCGTGATCCCTTCTCAGTTCCCTCAGCTGCACAGTGTGACACAGAAGACAATGGAGTCGGTTAAGCACTGGATGACCACAAACAAGCTCAAACTGAATGATGATAAGACTGAGCTGCTCCCCATCACGACCGCTCAGAAGCAAAAATCTGCAAATAACATGACATCCATTACTCTCTCAGGTGTGCGTATTGAGTTAGCTCAAACAGTGTAGTACCTGGGTGTCTACCTAGATAGAAGACTAACTTTTCAAAGTCATATTAACATGCTATGCAAGGCGATTTTTCTGGAGCTGCGCAGGATTAGTCACATCAGGCCCTTCCTAACAATTGATGCAACAAAGAGGCTGATGTCTGCACTGTGCTATCACGCATGGACTATTGCAATGCTCTCATGGTGGGTCTTCCAGCTAAGCTCCTGGATAAAATTCAAATAGCACAGAATAATGCGGCTTGCATCGTTCTCCGCAAAAGCAAATTCGACCATGCAAAAACACTTCTGAGAGAGCTGCACTGGCTGCCGGTGCGTGCTCGCATAAAGTACAAAATCGCAACTTTGTGCTACCGCTGCTTACATGACCTAGCGCCGTCCTATCTGAAAGAGCTGCTGATGCCTTATGTACCCACTAAGAGAGCTCCGCTCATCCGATAGTGGCAAACTCTCGACACCACGTGTTTGCCTTGAGACTTACGGAAAGCGCACTTTCGCATTTGCTGTTCCAACAATTTGGAACGCCCTTCCTGTCAATCTCAGAAACAACCAGACACTGGAGTCCTTTAAAACCAATTTAAAGACACACCTATTTCGCAAACACCTTCTGGGATGATTGTCTACCTTATTTTCCAGTTAATGCAAATGGCTGTGTTGCTTGGGGTTGAAATGGCTAGAAAGACTTTGCCATTGTATGCTTGTAATTAGTTTTTGTAGTGTTGCGTTTGTTTTGAATATGGTAAATTATAGATTTGTATTTTGTTGACTTTGTACCGTGCTTCGAGCCTTTGGGGATGAAGAGTGTTTTTTAAATGAACTTTATTATTATTATTATTATTATTAAGATGCATATAAGAGTTACCAAGACCATTATTATTGATTTAAGAAACCATATTTCAGTATTTAAAGCACACAACCTTCATTTACTGTGAATTCCAGTGCATTGGAGAGTGATAAAATAAGGATTTCCTTGATTTGGAACAAGTGCAAAGAAAGCTACAAAATAACAAGTCAATTGGGACTTGTTACTATTTTGGACATGGTCATTCAAAACCTCATAAAAAATTGCACAATCAAAGCAATTAGACTACAAACATTTGATTTCATCTATAATAGTCTAAAACATTTAAAAGAAAATGATGATATTGTTGAACATATTGAATAAAGAGACTCAATGACCAGGGCAGGGGCTAGAATGATTTTCCATAGCTTGAAGACAATTTTAAATCTACACTAAATTCTTAGTTCATCAAAAAGAAATTGTTACATTACACAGAACAAATTACTGAGGCAACATTGGAACAAAATGTGTAAATATTTATTTTTTTGATATTTGTATAATTTTATACAGTATTAATTTTACAGTATTTTTTTTACTATATACTGTATTTTTTACAATGAATTATTTCTCATCAATTATTGTTCAAATACTTGGGTAAAAATAAAGTGATCTTTAATTCTTGACACATGATCAAAGTCTATGAAATCCTGAGACTACCTTAGCATATATTAAATTTGTCATTTAGATGTTAATCACTTGTCATTTAGATGTTAATCACTTGTCATTTAGATGTTAATCACTTGTCATTTAGATGTTAATCACTTGTCATTTAGATGTTAATCACTTGTCATTTAGATGTTAATCACTTGTCATTTAGATGTTAATCACTTGTCATTTAGATGTTAATCACTTGTCATTTAGATGTTAATCACTTGTCATTTAGATGTTAATCACTTGTCATTTAGATGTTAATCACTTGTCATTTAGATGTTAATCACTTGTCATTTAGATGTTAATCACTTGTCATTTAGATGTTAATCACTTGTCATTTAGATGTTAATCACTTGTCATTTAGATGTTAATCACTTGTCATTTAGATCACTTGTGTTTCAGTGAATTGTGTACGACCCAGAAAGTCAGAATGATGATTTACAAAAATGGCTGCAGTACTGAACCATCTGAAGTAGTAGTTGACATGGAGGATATGGACTGGGTAAGTTTTAAATGAAAAATTCCTACATTTTCCTTTTAAAATGGCATAATTGTTTTTAAAAAAATGTATATAGCTATTTCTTTGTATTCTCATTATTAAGTCTACAGCAAGGGACAATGACTGTAAAGATGTTTTTAAATACATTTTAACATTTTTATTGTCTTAAAATCATGGATAAGAAACCTCTTTGTTCAGTTTGAAAGCTGAAATTAAAATGCATAGAAATACCTCTTTTTATTGTGTATTGGCCATTGACCTATTAAACTGTACGGATAAATTGTTTGAAGGTAAAAAGAGTTCTTAAACCTCACTGTCTTCATTTCATATAAATTGAGTATTAATTTAATTTTATAACTATGAAATCATGGCTTTCATGTACTGTAGCTGTCTCTTTATTAACACGATTTTCTAGTTCTTCATCCACTGTACAAGTAAACTGAGTCTGACGAGGCATGCTAAAATTGCTTATGACTGGACTGGGAAGCAAATTACTCATTTATCTGAGAGTAAGTGTTGTCAACATAGAGCACAATCTATTGCACATTAATGAACTAATATTAGGCATTACCTTGTGAGTTCATTGCATTGACAAGCAGACAGTGATGTTATTTTATTTCCTTGTCTTACATTTCTACAGCCCCTATTCTTGATGATAGTACTGTACAACATGGGAAAACACCATTCTTTGGACCATTGTGGATCTCAACTGGTGAAGGATTCAGCCCCTCTGGCACCCAAGGGTTTTTGCTAATGATTAAAAATGCTCTAAAAGAGAAAATTAAAATTTTGAAGAGCCAAAAGAAGCAGGTATTATTATGACTGGAAAATGTTTAAACATATTTCATTACAAAGAGGTCACAAACACCTGCTACTAATTATTGTCACGTTTAGTTGTTACATTTTTTAAACTATGATTTTTCTCTCAGATATTTATTTGTGAACACATTACATTAATTCATGTTGAGATTTTGATATTCCAGCTAGTTAATCAAAACAAATCTTAAGAAACTGGATTCCCAAAAGCAATTCTCAAGATATCAATGATATTGAACACACAAAAAACCCACAACAAACCCAGTCATGAAAATGTCATTCAAATAAAAATCTTTAAAATGATAAGTTACACTCTGTATAATTTTAGATTGATTTTGCACTGAATGATGAGAAGGGAGAGGTTAATGACCCAATCATCCTGGCTATGGCTAGTGATGACCTGTACGAAGCCAGTGAAAAGGTAACTAGCACTAAATTGTATCAATATAAATTAAAGATAATAGGGATAATTTCTATACAAAATTTTTTATCTACATCTTTCCTGGGAGATGAAGTCCTAACCATGATAAAAAGAGTATAGCATAATTTATTTCCCATTTTAAGCAAATTAAAACTTGAACTTAATGATCGTAACATTTATAAATCCTATAAACCAAAGTGGTGACCATATTGTTTGTCAACAAGTCTCTATTTAAATAAAACAAGATTTAAACTTGCACTGAAAGTCTGTTTAGAGAGTACAAATCTCAAAATGTTTGTTCAGACTAAATCTAACTGGTAGCTAGCATGTGACAACTATGATGGGGGTGTACTTAAAATTAAACAAAATATTTTTTGTTTATTTTAAAAAATTTAAAAAAAAAAAGACAGATTGGTCTGCAATGAGGCTAGGTTTCTCCAAAATGTTCACTTATGGTTTTAAATTTATCTATAAATCTATTCACTTTTTCTTGTGTACGGTGACAAAAAAAAGAATTACATTTCTTGCACCAGAAAATGTTACTGTTTATTCAATCCCTGTAACTTTATTTTAGATAGATGAACAACTTGAAAAATTTCAAGAAGCCTTGATGAACATTCAGGAAAAGCTGAAAGCCTTGAAAGATGAGGCTTTGAAAGAAGAGGTGATAAATACATTTTTTAAATCAACTGAGAGAAGTATTATTTGTAATTATTTACCAAAATTTACTTAGCTAAATGCTAAGAAAACAATATTTTTAAAGTGTTAACAAAACATTTGATAGTCCTAATCCTTTTTAGATGTTAGGCATTTATTGTATGTCAATTATTTATAATTTCACTGCATTTGGTATGAGATATTCAGATGTGGTGGAACTTTTCATCAATCTAAAATAAAATTGATTACCCGGTATTATTTGATGTTTCAGGAGGCTGGAGTAAGTTACAAGTTTTCACAGATTCAGGAAATTGGTGTGGATGACAGACTTTTGGGCATCAAGGGAATAAAACTAAAGGTACATCCATTTGTTATAATATTCTAATATCCCAAATTTCTAATGTTACAATACCCCATAAGCATTAAAGATAATTTCAGATTCTAAGATGTCAGCTGATGACATTCTTTCATAGGTTTCAGATTATGCTCCTTGTTGATTCAGTATCAATAAGATCAACACTATTGAAAAAAGGTTTACTTTCATATTGCTCTCCAGGTCTTTGAAAATGGACATTCCGATGGATCCTTTGTTTATTTTTTTAATCTCCGTGAGGCCATGAAAGGTGCCGAGAACAGAAATCAAATTTTGCTAAGGGTACAAAATTTTACTTATTTTTAAAGTTTATTGTAGAGCGGAAGTAATTGTTAAAATGTTTATACAATTTTCCCCTTTAAAAGTTGAAGAAAAATAATTTTCTGAAATAAAATATGCCTGAAAATAAAGTTCTTTTAAATATTTCATTTGAATATAAGGCCTTTCGAGTCATCATTTCATTTGAATATAAGGCCTTTCGAGTCATCCTGATCAAACATATTGTTAATGCAGGAAAAATAACAAGTTAGAAAATTTTAAAACTGTCTTATTAGAATTCTTTTAAAAGAAATTTTAAACTTTGAATCATAGTTTTTTCCATTAAATCAAAAATTTAACAGCTTTTAGATGAACTGTCACAATCGAGACTTTCTTCTGGGGTCAATCGCAATCTGAATGCAGTTGCAACAAAACTCTATGACAAAAATGGTGTTGAGATTAAAGATGTCAGTACCCTTCAACAAGATCAGTCAGTATGGTTGTCATTTGGTGAACCCTATATCTCCCCATTTAGTGAGTTTGTAACATTATCTCCTTAAAAGTTTTTATGCAGTCAAATTTTTTGTGTGCATTTTTTTTAACAGGCCAAAGAGTTAAACTTTGCTTTCACTCAACTGTTAACAAATATACAAATAAATGTAAAAAATATGATTTTTATAACAATTTCAGTAAAGAGGTTTTTTTATCTTTCAATGATAAAATAAATTGTATTGAAAATTTTTATGACAGTAATAATTGGGGAGACATAAAGGAATACACTGCTTCAAATAGGACAAGGGAGCACCATTAAAAAAAAAAAGTTTTGTCTAAAAAAAAAACTTGGGATGCATTCCTTTGTTTCTTCACTCAGTTTCACAAGATTTTTTCCATATATCAGCCAATGGCATAAATGACAAACAAAATTGTCAATAATAAATCAAAGATAATATTTTAAAATGGATTCATTTTTATTCTAATTAGCAATACAAATTAATATTAATTGCTTCTATTTGTTTCTTTTGCAGTCTTCTCTTTACATCTATTTTTGGATAAAGCAACCCGTATAACAGATTCTAAGAAAGAATACAGAATAGTAAGGGAGGCAATTGTTAGTACAGATGAGGAACTAGTAAAGGAGTAAGCATAATATCCAAAGCAAATGGCTTTTTATTAGTTTTCTCTGGTACAAAAATTTTTATAAACTTTGTGGAGGAATAAAAATGAACAAGTCGAAAATATCTCTTTCATTTAAATTATGCATTTGAAACAATAAGGACTAAACAATGTATCTATTGTTATTTGAAAATTGAACAAATTAATTAATTTATTTCATAATTTTCATGATGCAAAATCTATACAAGATTAAAAGATTTTGTTTTACGTTCTGACAGTACCAGCAAGTGGGAAGCTTGTGCTGGATTCCCTGACTCTTATGAAAGCAAGGAGGCTGAAATTTATGATGATAGTAAAGTGGAGTATCTGCTTCAAGGTGGTGAGGTTGATATCAAGGCCCATTTCTTGTTGCTTAAAGTAGGTTTATTTCTCAGTTTGTTGATAATTAATTTTTTTAAAATTCTGAGTATAAAAAGACTTAGCATTTATTTTTTGCTTTATTTTCCTTTACATCCTGCATCTGATTTAGCATGTTTCAGTTTTATATAATGTACAATATGTTCATTAGTCCAACGAAAAATAATCATTATACTCCAAAATACCATCAAAGATTCTAAAAGTTGGTGCAGCAATTCCTACCATGGAGGAAAACTTACCATTAAAAATTTCTCAACTTTTGTTAGTTATTACAAACATAGATGATAAAACAAATAAAAAAATGCTTGAAGGGCTGTTCATTTCATTTATACATGAAAACAAGACACCCAGGAAGTTAACTCATTACAACTTTTAATGAGTGATATCAATATATTTTGGTTGATTTTGGGGAAGCCTTATGTGTCTACTATGCATAATTCTACTGAGCTGAAAATTTAGTGCACATTGTAAACCAAAGGGTTGATTCTAGCTTTACCAATCTGTGTGAGGAAATTTTGAATCTGGAGCAAAAATAAAATATGAAATACATTTGTTTAAATAGAGTGAAATGAACAAAATTGCAGCCATGTGTAGACACCTATTTCCTAGTTTAATCCAGTTTTTATCTTTGTCAATATTGATCAAGTAGTAAGTGCTCATCTCCTCCTAGCACCATGATTCTTGTCTGCTTTCAGTATCTGATATTAAAACTTTTCCCCATCTTCTCTTAGTGCTTATGTCCCTCTAGCACCATGATTCTTGTCTGCTTTCAGTATCTGATATTAAAACTTTTCCCCATCTTCTCTTAGTGCTCATGTCCTCCTAGCACCATGATTCTTGTCTGCTTTCAGTATCTGATATTAAAACTTTTCCCCATCTTCTCTTAGTGCTCATGTCCCTCTAGCACCATGATTCTTGTCTGCTTTCAGTATCTGATATTAAAACTTTTCCCCATCTTCTCTTAGTGCTTATGTCCCTCTAGCACCATGATTCTTGTCTGCTTTCAGTATCTGATATTAAAACTTTTCCCCATCTTCTCTTAGTGCTCATGTCCTCCTAGCACCATGATTCTTGTCTGCTTTCAGTATCTGATATTAAAACTTTTCCCCATCTTCTCTTAGTGCTCATGTCCCTCTAGCACCATGATTCTTGTCTGCTTTCAGTATCTGATATTAAAACTTTTCCCCATCTTCTCTTAGTGCTCATGTCCCTCTAGCACCACGATTCTTATCTGCTTTCAGTATCTGATATTAAAACTTTTCCCCATCTTCTCTTAGTGCTCATGTCCCTCTAGCATCACGATTCTTGTCTGCTTTCAGTATCTGATACTAACATTTTTCCCCATCTTCTCTTAGTGCTCATGTCCCTCTAGCACTATGATTCTTGTCTGCTTTCAGTATCTGATATTAAAACTATTCCCCATCTTCTCTTAGTGCTCATGTCCTCCTAGCACTATGATTCTTGTCTGCTTTCATATTAAGCTTTCACTAATCTTTTCTTTGTTACTGCTCCCAAACTAGGACAAGCACGATAAAGTCTTGTACCCAGAGATTGGTGTGTCAGAAAAAACTCAAACAAAAAACCAAATTTTCGTCCACACCAAGGTAACGTAATTTTTTGAAACTATAAAACTGTTGAGAGGAATGTATACACTCAGGAGTCATGAGAGGCAGATATAAGGTATATAGGGGGCAGTTTAAGAAGAGGGATTCTAATGGACAGTTTAACCACTTCTTTGAATTAAATGAAAAAAAGGTCACTTTGAATAGATTGATGAGCTTTGAATAGATCGATGAGCTTTGAATAGATTGATGAACTTTGAATAGAATGATGAGCTTCATTTTGATCAATATCGAACTGCCAAACTGCTTGTAAGATGTAAACTAATGTTCTGCTCTTAAATCACAGTTTGAAAAAATAAAGTATGGAATGTACAAATTGAAAAATAAAGTATGTAATGTACAAATTGAAAAAAATAAAGTATGGAATGTACAAATGGAAAAAATAAAGTATGAAATATACAAATTGAAAAAATAAAGTATGGAACATACAAATTGAAAAAAATAAAGTATGAAATGTACAAATTGAAAAAATAAAGTATGGAATGCACAAATTGAAAAAAATAAAGTATGAAATGTACAAATTGAAAAATAAAGTATGGAACGCACAAATTGAAAAAAATAAAGTATGAAATGTACAAATTGAAAAAATAAAGTATGGAACATACAAATTGAAAAAAATAAAGTATGAAATGTACACATTGAAAAAATAAAGTATGGAATGCACAAATTGAAAAAAATAAAGTATGAAATGTACAAATTGAAAAAATTAATTATGGAATGTACACATTGAAAAAATATAATATAGAATGTACAAATGGAAAAATAAAGCATGGCTTGTACAAATTGAAAAAAAAAGCCAAAATAATGTAGAAATTATGAAAAAATAAAAGAACTTGACATGTGCACAACTTTTTTTATTGGGTTTAAAAATATTTTTTAAAAACCCTTTTGAAGGCCTATTAATTTTATTCAGAATTTAAAAATATTTTTCAGAACGGCTACATATATTGCAAAGCTGCCCCCCAGTTGTGTCTAACTGTTTCAGACAATAGAGCAGAAGTGCATCTCCTCAACAGTGACTCCCCAATAGATGGTTATGTTGTCTGCATGCAGAAAAAAGTGACTGGCAACCCTGCCCAGGTTTGGCATTGTTTGCAAGATGCAACAATCTCCTCACAGGTAAATAATGATAGGGGGGGAAAAAGGACTTTTTTAAAATTTACTGAAACAAGGATTATTAAAAAATAAGATAATATTTACTCACCAAATTATTATGTGTAAAATGGTATTGATTCCCCACAGCTTTATCCAGAACTTTTGTTGGCCTAAAGGTATTGCTTCCCCGCAGCTTTATCCAGAACTTTTGTTAACCTAAAGGTATTTCTCTCCCGCAGCTTTATCCAGGACTTTTGTTAACCTACCTGGGCTATAAACGCTGGGATCCTACAGAGGGGGGTGAACAACAACAGACAAATGTTAAAAATGGATGTGTCATCTCCATGATTGTAACTGACCGGCTTCCAAAGAAACACTTGGGAGCTCAGAGGTACCCTGGGAAAAATTAGAGAGGGCAAATGTAACTTTTCTGAACACAAACTCCACTAAAAAACTAATTTTATATGAAAGTAAAATATTTTTGTATAAAACTTTTTTTGTTAGTACCTTTTATATAAAAGTAAAATATATTTTTATGTTAATATGATGCCTTCCTTGCATCTTTATTGAATAAACCAGATTTGCTTTTAAACAAGAACGATTTGACAATTTGGGACAGTGGAAATATACAGCTACAACCAACCCAGAATGGAACAAACTGGCATATTCTTGGCCTGTCCTGGCCAATGGTGAACTGAATGAGGTGAGCCTTGTAACAATTTATCTTTTTTTCTTAGTTTATGGTAGTGAGTTTGTGACTTTGTGTCATCTCATTATTTTTAACTATTTTAGAAGGATTCTGATAAAATAAATACTATACAACCATTTATAAATTGACTCTTTCTGTCAACAATGTTACACTTTGATATACACATGTTTTGTTGTTATTTTGGTACAATAACTTAATAATAGAAGATAATAATACATTTTCTAATGGCACTGATAAGAGTAAAATATTTTCTATATAAATAAGAATTAATGAAATATACTTGAATAAAAATATTTTGGTTCTAGTTGATTAAATATGCTAAACTATGAAATTAATATCTCATAGTTCTCTTAAAAAGTTAAAGTAAATTTTGAGCATTTTCAAATAAATTTCTTTTATTCTCTTAAAAAATATTTACATCTTTAAAATTAAAATGATCAGAAATATGACTGGCCCATGGAAGGATTTATCATCCCCAATGTGCCTCCAATACGCAAATCTGACAAGAAATTGGAATTATCAGGAGGTACTTACAATCTTAAAATGAGTACAACTAGTCATTAACCTACACAAACCATGATCTGATCCAAATGAACAGCTGGAAGTTGATTATTCATATATTTAACTATATTTTAGTTGATACATTTTGGCAATTTTTAGTTTTCTCTGGACTATCCTCTATGTACATTTTTTTGCTGCATGTAACAAAAAGTTTAAATTTCATTGTAAAACTTGAAACATCAATCATGAGTGTCAAGGCTAACCACGAAGGCTAATTTTTTTTCTTCAAAATCTAGCTTTGTTTAATATATTGATATCCTTATAGCAACACCAGCCAGATTAAAGGTGCTGAAGAATGGAGACAGGAAGTTTGAGAGTGCTGTGAGCGTTGTTGGACCAAACATGACCAACGTAAGCCGACATCTTTATAGCTTTTCATGCGTACAGGTTACACGACTTTGTATGGTTATGACAAAAACTATACTCTATGAGAATCTTATATTTATTATTAACTTTATGATAGTTTAGAAATTAATCTGAAGTAGAAATTATTGTAGTATGTTGTTTATAAACTCCAAAATATTTTTTTAGTCTGTGTTTTCTGACATTTTAGTCATTGTTTTGGTATAAATACCTTTGTGTAACTGGAAACAAATAAAGTTGGAAGACAGCAGCCAACTTGGCATGAGACTAAATATCAGCCATTTATGGCTTAAAAATCAGTAATCTTATCAGATAAATAATCTGCTGGAAAGAAATCCAAGCTTTAAAAACAAAAACAAATCTGTGATGTAATATTTTGAGTAAATATACTAATCTCATGAAACAGTTAAAAATTACTCTCTCCATATTTTTTATTCCAGCTGGTGAAAGACCATTCTAAAAAGGATCATAAACACAAAATGAAAGTTAGCAAAAACCAGCACATTATGATCACAGAAGAACTGGACTTGGAGCTTCACTGTATGAACATGACAATATATGAGGTGGAGTTCCTCATGGTTAGTAAATTTGTTGCATAAACAGTGGGGGTATTTACTGAGTTAACTCAGTTTAAATAGGCCATCTTGATATCTCAATCTGTTGAAAAATCAGTCACTGACACTTTTAGCTACCTTTCATCTGTTTTTCTTTACAAAAAAAAAAGCATAAGAAATTGTTGGTAACAAGGAAACTTTTAAATCAATGTTTGAACAAACCGCACAATATAATGAATGGAAATGTCATAATTAGGATAAATGATCATGGCCAAAATTCTAATAACATATATTAAATTTTAGTCTGAAGCAGACATCTCAGGGTAACCCATAAAAAAACATACAAATATGCAGTATTTAAATTTTTATGGTTGTCATCATCATGTTTTAGAACATTCATTTATAATTTATAAAAATAATTTTTTTTAAAAATTGGAAGTTAACTATTTAAAATTGTAAAAAAATTGTGTTGGACCCCTTTATGTTTTATATCATGAATGAGCTTTTTTCTTAGAAAATAGGAGAGATGCTTTATTAGGAACAGTGGAATGTGTCACAAATTAAATCAATTCTTTCCATTCAGTTCCTGGCCTACTGCACTAGTCTTTTGGACCTCCCTTTTGCTGCCAGAAGACTGTTTGATTACAATGGGAAGGAACTATTCAACATCCAGAACCTTGAGAGAGATTCTCTGGTCTATGTCTCCTGCGGGGAGGAGTGGTCAGACCCCAAGCTTTCCAAGAAAGAGCAGAAAAGGCGTTTCTTGTTGTCTCAGTTATCCTCAGATATTGTCAAAATTCAGCAGTATTGTTCTATGAGGAACCCTGAGCGTAAGTTATTTGCTTTATTGTTGGGAAAACATGAGGTAGATGGTAAATGTAATCTTTTTTTTTGAAATGGAAACAGTAGGTAGATGGTAAATGTTTTCTTGTTTTGAAATGGAAACAGTAGGTAGATGGTTAATGTAATCTTTTTTTTTGAAATGGAAACAAGAGGTAGACGGTAAATGTAATCTTTTCTTGAAATGGTAACAGTAACCAATGATAGAAATATTTTTACAGACAGAAATTTTTTTGTATTTAACTATGTTTACATAATTATTATATTTAAATTGAAAGGAATTTTTTTTTAAAGAACAAGCCCAAATCAAATAAAACAGCTGTGAAAATATTGTAAATAGAAAAAAAAATGGAAACATTTGTCTCATATTATTTTTTGAAGCATATTTATTTAAAAGTGTTTGAAAAACTATACTTGTGCATAATAATTGTGTCATTAAGTTGTCTTTATATGTCTCTCTGATGTATATTCTTTAGTTTGTAAGTTAATACATGTCATCAGCAGCGTAGGAAGGGAGGTGCAGAGGGGGCAGTTCTTTTTGTTCTTATATTTAGGTGCCACATTTTCAGCCAACTGTAGAGGTTTTTTTCGTGCAGCAAAAATCTTGATCGCCCTGGGTGGCACTAACCCTAGCTACAGCACTACATTCATTTATATGTTAATTTTGTAGACAAATTTTTCTATATTTGGTGTTGACAACTGTCATTAACCCTTGGATTTGATTTTACACAGACTATGTTCTTGAAATAAATGGATCTCTGACAATAGCCACGGGGCTGGTGGTCAACAAACAATGGACTCATGAGGTTGAAGGTCAAGGTGAACAAGGGGATTCAAAGCTGCGTAAAAGCAGTGACATTGTCAAAGAAAGTTTCGATGAAGACCAAGAAAATGAAGAATCTGACCAGGAGCCAAGAGAACTGTAAGTAAATGGTTACATCAGGGGTTCTCAACCAGGAGGTGCAGGAAGACCTAGAAGAATAGGGTGATTTTCATTTATATTAGCATTTTTTTGTTGTAGGGTGGGGTGCAGAAAATATGTTTTGAACTCAAGATGGAAGTAGGGGAAATTTTAGGAAATCTGTACAGGGTGAGACTCTATAAAAAGGTTTAAAACTCCTGGGTTACATACATTGGGGTATTTTTTAATGACTGACTGTATTTTGTTATTTATCTTTAAACCTTGCCCCATATTTATATAAAGAATTTGTTTGATGACGATTTAAATATTTAAGAATCATTTTTATTAATAGACGAAGAAATTAATATAGATAATTGTACAAGCCTGTTTGTTGATATGCTGACTCCTATTGTTTTGGTTGGGAAAAAACCTGATGTGTATAACCTGATCATAAGCTGACCCCATGATATAATAAGCCAATGTAAATGATGCATTAACTAAGAATATCTTGATTGAGATGCAAAGGGAGAGCATTACTTATGCTGTAATCGACTTTCATTATCTACTTATCATTACATTAGGAGAATAGTGGCGCCATCTACTTCCAGTAACTTTATTTTATTAATATTAGAGGATTATGATAACATATTTGAATCTTATGGAGTGTACTGTAGGATCTGGTCAATTTTAATGATAATTATGTTATTCGGTCTACCAGGAGAGTTATTAAAATCTCTTAAGATCCACTCATAAGCGACCACATCAATTTTCCCCTGAAATATTTTGATTAAAATTCAATTTTAGAACATAGTATATATGCAGTGGCTTACCTAGGGTTAGAGCCACCCGTGGCAGGTCAAGATTTTTGCTGCCCCTTTTCACGAAAAAAACTCTGCAGCTGACCAGAAATTCCGCCCCTTCATATAAAGGGTAAAAAATGTTTCCCCCCTCTGCACCCCTTTTCCTACACCTCTGTATCTATGGTAATCATTTATTTAAGTTGCCCTGAGATGTACATGGATTATTTTCAAAAATTCCATTGATGTTAGGTGTGAGTAAACTCTATCTTGTCTCTATCTGTACCTTCAGCACATACCATGAGTTGTCTCATATGAAGTCAGATGACTATGCCAACACCTTAAAGTGGCCTTGGGAGAGACTGGTCAATGTCAACAACAGTATGGATACAGATGACCCAGAGGCCAATAAGTACACTGACCGAGACCTGTATGAAAAATTTAAGTGAGAATTTTTCATTTTATTTGTAAAAGTTTGAAAATATAAGGATTGCCAATATCATGATTTGAGGAGCAAAATAATTTTTGTTTAGTAGTCATGATTTCAAAAAATTGTTTAAGGCAACGGATCATTTAAGAAAATTAAATTTATTACAATGTGCTTGTCTAAAGGCTGGGACACCATGGAGACAACATTTATCTCTGGAGGTAGATAAAAGCTAAAGATAAATAAATATGCATATAAAGTTGTTAAATAAAAATGTATGGCATTTTTTAATATGAAAATTACGAAGGCGTCTTTGAGATATCCCATTTCTAATTTGTCAGTAAACAATTAATATATCAGATATAAGACATAAACCAGAAAGAAAAGTAAATAATAAAAATAGATAAAGAGAGGAATCTTGTCACTGTCAATTGAATCTTGTCACTGTCAATTGAATCTTCTCACCGTCAGTTGAATCTCATCACTGTCAATTGAATCTTGTCACTGTCAAATTCAGAATGAAGTACTTAAAATGAAAATAGAAAATCAAATGTTTTCTCTAATAAAAATATTTATCTGTCTCTGATAAAGACATTTATTTGTCTCTGATGAAGACATCTATCTGTTTCTAATTAACTAAGACATTTATCAGTATCTAATGAAGACATTTAGTCCCATCCTTTATCAACCAAATGATCAAGCTCTGACTATGGATATGTCTTGTTTATCATCAGACCACAAACAACAGCTCGGCTTTCAAGGGAAACACTCCAAAAGTTTGAGTATGAAGACGGCTACATTTCAGTCTCAAGCAACAGGTCACTTGTTTTGTCTGTCAGTGAGACAGAAGGTCGGGTCGTCAACGTGATCTTGTCCAAAAGGCAACCTGATAACATCAATCAAAGATGGGTCATCAAAGAAAATGGGTAATTTTGGATTTTGACATTTTTATTGGTACATTCGTATTTTGATGAAATGTCCACTAAGACATAATTAATGAATTGTCCACTAAATGAGACATAATTCATGAATTGTCCACTAATTGAGACATAATTCATGAATTGTCCACTTAGTGAGACATAATTCAGCATACATTGTTATTTTATTTTTAGTGGGCTAGAAACCGCGACTCAGTGTGACTAGTAGAAGTTTTTAGCTTGAAGTATAAGCTAACACCATAGGTCATCTGTTGGGGATTCAGTGTGGCTATTAGAAGTTTTTAGTTTGAAGTATAAGCTAAAACCATAGGCCATCTGTTGAATGTTAGGTCTTAAAGGGGTTGTAGAGTCTATCCCTTGTCTGTTAAAATTTTTTCTGACATGCAAATATCTAACTTAAAAACAGGTACCAATTTGCAATGTTCTATTCTTGATATGATCAATAGTGAAATCAGGGCCCGCCACAACCAACATCTGGTACTTACTGTGTCTATGCCCCCGACCTCATCGGGTGAACGTCCCAGCCAGTCCTTTGATGGCTGCCCCATCACTCTGCAGCCCAGGTGCACAAACATGTTTGGCAAGGCTCATCAAAAATGGAGATATGACCCAGAATCTGGAAATATATTTGCTTTCTATACTGATCAGCCTGACAAAGGTAAATTGTATGTTAATTGTGCGAAGGGGGGCTTGTTATAGAGAACTTTATTGTTACAGTGGCATTAAATGTGTGTCGAAAAGTTAATTAGGATTTAATTATTATATGTCTATATATATTTTTTAGAATTAGCTGTCAACTATAGAATTATGTCATGTGTAATTATAGATATGACAGAGAAATCTTGACTCATCTTCATGGAGGTAATGGTTATCAAATTGGTTGAATAAATGAACCAGCCGAGATAATGTCATGTAAAAGAATTTATTTAAAGGATTTATTTATTATCCACATATGTGTGAGCGTGTTATCTTAGTGAATATATGATGTGGATTATTTCTTTATTTATACGAGTATGGTTTTATTTGTGTTACATGATTAATTTGTGTAATTTATGTATGCACATTGTATACAAAAGCAAATTTACAGCAGTGAATAATAAATGTTGCTTCAAAATTGACAGAAATCACAGCAGCTAACAGAGCAGATGTGTGCACATATGCCATTGTACAGGGCACTGACATAGACCAACCCGTAAGTACCGGGCACGTCAAGTGAGATTATTTCATGTATGCCATCTTTAATGCTTCGCATTAATTTATATGCAATAGAAACTCATCTATACAACCATCAGTATTATTAGTAATTTTTATTTTTTTGCTTTTCCTTATACAGATTTAAATAATTATTGGACACAGGGAACAATGGCAATTTAGAAGAAAAAAAAGATTTGACAATAGAAAATAGGCAATTTGGAGCTTAATCTTTTAATAAATCGCTTTTTTAAACTGTCACCCGTGTCTTTATTGATTCTAGGGTTACATCGTTGAAATGCCCAGCAAGAGAGGGGAGGGAAACAAACAACTTAAAGTCTGCACATCCTGTGCCCGTGCCATGAGGGGGCGCTATAAAGTTCAGAGGCTGCAATCAAACACCAGCTTTCACTGCGCTATGGGAGATGGTGGGTTTAAAGGCTAATAGAAATTATATTTCTTAATCAGTTTTTTTTAATTGTTATGCTTTTTTATTTTTAAAAATATTCTTAACATTAATAAGTTTTCAGTAATTAGGGCCTAAATAACTTTTTATTCTGTCAGCCTACATCTGAAATATAGGATTATTGAACAGATCCTTAACCCTTTTACGACCAAGTTATAGCTTTTTAATACACTAATTTTGTTGAGTAATTGCTGGAAGCTTGGGACAGCTGGCTCTAAAATACTAAGTCACAATAACAGACAACTGGTGTCTGATTAACATTCGTTTGTTTTTTCCAGCAAATAAATTGAACATTCGTCAAATTGGAAGTTTTAAAGTTCTGAATAATAAAGTTGACCTTTCAACACATGAGGCTGACCTGACTTTGGCTCAATGGCAGAAAAGATTTGATGAACTCAAGCTTCAGACTAACGTTCACTCCATTGAGAAGGAAATAAATGGAGCCAAGAAAGTCCGCACTGTCAAGGTTATGGCCTATAAAAATGGTGAAGGTCGCCTGAGGAAAGGGGAAATAATTTGTGGGTCAAGTATTAAAGGGGTGAGTTACTACCCTTAGACTGTCATTTGAACATATAAATATTAAGTTTTCTAACATTATGATAGAACAGTGATTTATAAAAAAAAATATCTGTTTCATTGTTTTTCTAAAATAAATCTCAGTGGGGAAATCTTATAATTAATCATACAATTTTTTAATGTTAAGTTTCCTAATGTTTGAACAAATCAGATCCTCTGTCAATGTACGCACCGACTGGGCCTCACCAACGCTGCTCGTAGGATGTACCTGGAAGATGGGGCCATCGTCCTAGATGTTGAAGATCTGATAAGTTATGCGGAGGAGAATTACAGGTCAGAGATGATCAACATTGTCCAGGCCAAGAGAAGTGAGGAGCAGAGTCAGGAGGGTAGGTCATGTTTTAAGGTTAGAGCTAAACTCTAGGTCGCAGGTCACTGTGGAGGAGAAGTTCTGGCAATAAATAGGTTCACAGCTCACCGGCAATAAGATTATATTCAGTCATTTTTTATTTTACCCATTACAATATGAAATTGTGTTTAGAAAACATGACCTACTCCATAGGGACCTAATATGACATTGTGTTGAGACACTATGGCCTACTCTATAGGGTCCTAATATGACAATGTGTTGAGACGCTATGGCCTACTCTATAGGGTCCTAATATGAAAATGTAATTAGAAACATTGGCCTGCTCTAAGGTGTCCCTTCTCTGATGCACTAAACTAGTCCAAGTGTAATCTGGTACAGTTAGATCATGTTTGAGACTGCACTAAACTAGTCCAAGTGTAATCTGGTACAGTTAGATCATGTTTGAGACTGCACTAAACTAGTCCAAGTGTAATCTGGTACAGTTAGATCATGTTTGAGACTGCACTAAACTAGTCCAAGTGTAAACTGGTGCAGTTAGATCATGTTTGAGACTGCACTAAACTAGTCCAAGTGTAATCTGGTACAGTTAGATCATGTTTGAGACTGCACTAAACTAGTCCAAGTGTAATCTGGTACAGTTAGATCATGTTTGAGACTGCACTAAACTAGTCCAAGTGTAATCTGGTACAGTTAGATCATGTTTGAGACTGCACTAAACTAGTCCAAGTGTAATCTGGTACAGTTAGATCATGTTTGAGACTGCACTAAACTAGTCCAAGTGTAAACTGGTACAGTTAGATCATGTTTTAGACTGCACTAAACTAGTCCAAGTGTAAACTGGTACAGTTAGATCATGTTTGAGACTGCACTAAACTAGTCCAAGTGTAAACTGGTGCAGTTAGATCATGTTTGAGACTGCACTAAACTAGTCCAAGTGTAAACTGGTGCAGTTAGATCATGTTTGAGACTGCACTAAACTAGTCCAAGTGTAAACTGGTGCAGTTAGATTATGTTTGAGACTGCACTAAACTAGTCCAAGTGTAATCTGGTACAGTTAGATCATGTTTGAGACTGCACTAAACTAGTCCAAGTGTAAACTGGTACAGTTAGATCATGTTTGAGTGTTTTTGAAAGATGTTAATATTCAGTTGGTCTTTACTGAAAGGTTTATTGCCAGGGTTTTGAATTTCCCTAGTCACTGACAGGGCAGTGAGTTTATTTATCCCACAAGGAGCACGTTTTAGAGCAACCAGGATGACCCTATGTAATGACCGCATGATTCTACCATTCTGACACAGCACTTCTAAACATTAAATATAGAGAATGGACGTTTCTAATCTCACTAGAAACATTTTGCGTATCAATCAAAGATTCGAGGTTTATTTTATCTTTCCAGAGAAAAACAAAACACACATTTCTTTCACCATCAAATTTTGTCCTTGATGTAGAGTGAAAATTATAAAGGTGATGAAATAATTTTAAAACAAATTAAAATTGGCAAGTCAGCATAAACATTGGTTTCTTCAGATAAAAATAAAATGAAAGAAGATCCTGAGAAGGAAGATGAGTCGCTACAAGTCCAACGTCTGCACAGTGCGGCAAGTTACGAGGTCAGTCAACAGGTGCAGAGGTCACTGGACAAACTCAGGCAGCTAGAAAGCCTGGCAGAAGAGGAGAGAGATGAAAGCTTGGGACAGCAAGAAGAGGAATCTCAACAGAAAGGTTGGAATAGAAAATGTGTGAGAATGGTGGTAGTGGGGTGAGGGGTGGGGTGGTGGTTTGTGTTGTAGGAGAGAAAAATCTGATAGGTGGATGAATGAAATCTCAAAATAAAAGTGGGAAGAACTTGTTAAAGATTTACTAATGAAGCTTATGGCAATACTATAGAACGTTCTACAACTTCTTAGTTACAATTTCTCTGATATGATTGTGGGGCACCATGATATGATTGTGGGACACCATGATATGATTGTGGGACACCATGATATGATTGTGGGACACCATGATATGATTGTGGGACACCATGATATGATTGTGGGACACCATGATATGATTGTGGGACACCATGATATGATTGTGGGACACCATGATATGATTGTGGGACACCATGATATGATTGTGGGACACCATGATATGATTGTGGGACACCATGATATGATTGTGGGACACCATGAGATGATTGTGGGACACCATCATATGATTGTGGGACACCATCATAAGATTGTGGGACACCATCATATGATTGGGGACATAAATATATAATAGGAGGCAACATTAGAGGCAAGGTTGCCAACTTTAGAAATGAAAATTTACGGACAAATATTTTAAAGCTTCAAATTTTTGCGGACAAACATTTTTTTATGGACACATTTTAAAAACCTCAGGAGCAATTAGGTTTTTTTTTTAGGGACAGGACATTGTGTTTTAAAAAATTTACAGTCAGTAAATTTATGGTCGGCTGGCAACCCTGATTAGTGCTTATAGGAGCATCATTTAGCCTAGGAGCTCACTGATGTAAAAGCAGATGTTAACAATTTGTTTTCATATTTCTATGTTTATTTTCATCTTTCTCCAGACCTTGATAATGAAGAGGCTCAGAAAATCAAACGGGAACGTGATGAATTGTTGAAAAATATGAAGCTGCCTCCCCTGGATGTCATTCTGAGAGCCCCCATCGAAGTCTGGGTATCAAGCGGGAAGCCATTTGTTTCTCCTGAAGGTAAACTTTAACTTGTAAGGACAGACAACCTGTGGCTGAAACAGTCATAACTGTCAGTAGAAAAAAAAAACAGCCATAAGTAGAGTAATATTGTTTTTAAAAATTCAGAAACATAATTTATTGTATACAAGTAGATGAAATACTGGTGGATGCTGCTATACAAGTAGATGGAATACTGCTGGATGCTGCTATACAAGTAGATGAAATACTGCTGGATGCTGCTATACAAGTAGATGAAATACTACTGGATGCTTCAGTGTTCTGTGTAGTTTCAAGCTTTCCATTCCCGCTCTCTCACCCATTCCCTCCCCTACCCTCTCTACTCCCCATTGTCTGTGCTAACCCCACTTTACCACCACCCAATCCTATGTTTTTCCACCATAACCCCTTACACTGGCTTTATGTAAGAGCAATGTACTTCTTGTGTGTAAGTAATTTTTAATACTTTCATTTTGCAATGCTCAACGTGAATCTTACATAGAAAGGGAAAAAGCACAGTTTCATTGAGTAAATCAAACAAATACAATTTTTTTGCAGGTTCAGCTGTCAGAAGCTATTTATTTCTCTAACATATATACCGTAGAGTTGTAATTATTTCTCTAACATATATACCATAGAATTTATTTATTTTGTTTGCAGTTGTTGAATCTAAGGAAGAGAACAGAAGGAAAAAAAGGAATTTCCGTGCTCAGGTCTGCCTAGCTTTGGATATTGAGAAACATGTTCTACGCCTGATGAAAGGAAGACGACTGGAACAGATGGCACCAGGCACATACAAATCAACACTGAGCAGCAAACAGCCCGTTGTTATTGAGAAACACTGGCAGGAGCCGACGGTAGAAGAGCAAGACAAACATGACACAGTGCACAAGCTGCAGGTTAGTGGATGTGGTATTAAATGAACATTGGCCTCAGGTAAGCCACTGAGAAACACAAAATTAAAACAATTTAATAATCATTATATTGAGATAACATATTATAATTCAAATGTGTCTATTTGATAGTTTAGAAAATGTGTAGTTTCTGATTGACAAACAAGTTCCATTCCTAGAGGTCTGGTGATTGAAATTATATTTAAACACCTAAGGATATATTTTTGATTAGAGCTTCAGAGCTGTCGCGTGTGCCTCGGATATTTAAGGGGCCCAAAGTCGTGATGTGGGGGGAAAAAAAACCGGTCAACCCTTAATGCAAGGGGCCACAAAATTCACAAGAGGGCGCCCTGGATATGACTTTTAATAAAAATAAGTTAGAGGTCCTTATGACATATAACATATGAAGATAATTTTTTTCAGTTTTATTGTAAAAATGCATAATTCCTTTTTTAACAATATAAATGTAAAATCAATTTCAAAACTAATTTTAAAAAAAGCTAAGTTATTGTACCAGTTAATCTTAAGTCATGTAAAGACTTAAAAATAACTCCTGTTAAGTTAAAAAAAAATTCTCTTTATAATAAAGTCACACCTAGGAGAAATCCGTGCAAATCAAAGTGAAAGCATTTCCAGCCATACTGGGATCAAGTTGGACAGCAGATTGTATCAACAGCCAAATATGGTAACTATTTGAATTTAAATTCAAATGTTAGGAAATATCAACAGTTGATGGACATTTAAAATTCTTAAAATAAAGTATTTTAAAGTATTATAAAGTATCAAACAAGACAGATCCACAGCTTGAGAGTCAAGTGTTACTGATCCTGATTGGCTGCCATTAGACCATGTGATTAACCGCTATACCCTGAAAGCTTATTTTCAGTGATACTTATAAACATGTTTATAATTACATTTCATGTTTAAAACTAAAGAAACTAGAAATACAAAATGTAAAAACCTGATACTTTTATTCTGACAGTCCATCCATATTGGTCGATTGTGAGTTAGTGAATAAAGCCAATTAGCAATGAGCTGATTTGAATGAAAATGAAGTGATCAACAGTAGTCTGTGCAAATTTAATGTCAACTAGAAAAATATGTGAACACTAGTTATTGACATATGTAAGATGACACTAGTTATTGACACATGTAAGATGACACTAGTTATTGACACATGTAAGATGGCATTAGTTATTGACACATGTAAGATGGCATTAGTCATTGACACATGTAAGATGACACTAGTTATTGACACATGTAAGATGACATTAGTTATTGACATATGTAAGATGACACTAGTTATTGACATTGTTTCAGAAACGAGTTCGTGTGTATCCCAATGGCCAATCCTTAGAGAGAGCTATTTATGTCTGGGGCGGCTCCATGCAGGAGATTTTAGATTCTGCCACTGCAAAACTTTCCTTTTGGAAACAAGCGAAGATTGTCTACAATCAGAATGGAGACAGGGTATTTCTGTTTGGTCTTACAGACATTAAATAATTATTGTTTTGTTTTCAAATTAAATAGAGAGAGATAATTTAGGGAGTAATTAAAGCGATAGATGAAACAGTTATCAATAAAATGGAGATTGATACTCTATATTTGTTTTTTTTTGTAAAATATTTGCCCAATTTTTAGTTTACTCTACAGTTTCAAGCAAAATAAAGATAGATGAATTTAAAATGTACTTTCCGTTTGATAGATTAAGTTTTTACTCTATCATTATGTGTCATTACTGTTGTGGACAGATCCTTAACTTTGATGACATTGAACGTGACCAGCTCCTGTGTGTCTCCATGGGAAAGTCTTTTATGCAGCCAACCAATGAGAAGCTGAACATTGAGATCAAGGCCAGCTGGGGACGTGCACGTAAACAGTATGGTTCTATGGCCACTGATGTAGTGGTTGATGTACAGAAAAATCCCAAGGTTGACGTAAGTTCAACCAGTCGCTTTTTGTACTATTAAAATCGAAAAGCTGTAATTCTTGAAATATAAGACATTAAATTTTTACTTTTTGTTCAAATGAGGTTAAAGATACATTTTACAGACTGAAAGAAAATCCATTTGTTTTGAGTTGTTAAACTTAAAATGTAATAATTGCATAATTTTTATAGTTCACAGGGATAATTAATTAAATTTTGTAAAGCTTAACAAACACTTTTTCCTATTTTGCTATAATATTTCACTAAATTTTAATATCTCCACTTTCTCTTGGGCAGGTTGATCCATTTGGGCCACCACTTTTAGCACTGCCTATTGGTCCAGCACCTCGCTCAGAGGAGCTGCAACAAATAACCTCTACCACTGAAAAGCAACAAATTATCTCTACACCTGAACACTACAGATTATCCAGAGAAGTTGTTACATCAGTTACCATGGAGACGAGTACTAAAGAAATAACACACATTTCTAAGAAATAAAATAGATCTGCAATTAAAATTTTTTTTTTATACTCTCTAAACAACTTTTTGGGCAGAAATTTGTCAAATAAAGCTGTTGGTGGTGTCATCTCATGCATGCAGACATACTGCACGTACATATAATTTATTATTTCATAATATAATTACCATATGCCTATTGGACACATTAAAATATTTTAGCCATACTTTTAATGTTTTTTAGACAACCTGTATTACAAATTCTACTCTTTATTCAAATTCCATTAAAAAAAAAAACAACTCAATTTTTTTATACCCTTATTTGTAATTATTTCTCAGGTCTTTTTCCTCTCCTTTTCTCTGATTGAGTGTTTATTTCACTTCCTCAAACTACAATAAGAAGACAAGATTTTGGTAAAATAAGAAATATGTAATGCATTTATAAGATCTATATCAAATTGTGTTAAACTCTCTTTTTAAATTTTTTTTTTTTGGTCAAGGTTTAACTGCTGTAAGATTGATATGTTTGATTTTAATTTTCAGTGATACAATGTTGTGTTTTTTCTGTGCTACAATGCTGTTTTTTTTCAGTGCTACAATGCTGTGTTTGTTCTGTGCTACAGTGCTGCGTTAAATATCACTATAACTTTATTGTGTACAAATAAATTAAGTGAAGACATGACCAACATTAAATATCTGTGATAAATGTTGTAAAGATGTATTTATTCTGTCATATATTTTTATAGTTAAATTAATCCTATTAAGTACACCCAGCTGGCCAATGTTGTTACTGTTATTATAATTTTTTAAACTTTACATTTTTGTATTGCGGATTGTTTCAATAAATAGTGGAACAAGATATCTTTCAGTTGCTTAATAAACTTGCTGCTAATTTTTTTTTTAAAACACCCTAAATAATATAAATTAGCATTATTTTCCATTTACTTGTGAGGAAATGAAATACTTTAATACTTTTTATTGTTTTGAATTATTAATGTACAAAATTATTGTTGTAAAAATGTCAAGGTTTTATATTAATATATTATACATATTTACAAAGCAATAAAACTATCTATGTTCAAAAATGTTAAACAATTTTTATAAAATAATTTCTTTTATAAACTAGACATTTCCATATAATCTGTTACTTGCAAAACAATTACTAAACTGTTAAAAGAAAAAATTTAGTCAAAATGTACTTCATGTCTTTTAAATCATAATTAAATTATGATGTAGTTTTTGCTAATTGATTTCAATTTTGTTACATTTATTAGCATTTCTGATTGTCCATAAAAATTTTGCACCGATTGACCTGATAAATAATAATTAAAAGTAGTTTAATTATTTTGCCTCTTTCATTTGTTTCATTTATATTTTTTTACCATAAGGATAAAAAATATTGTCTTTAAATTTAAAGAATGTCAATATTTGAAAAGGAGAGTAGGGGTGAGGGGTAGGCCTTCTCAGGGGAAATAACTGAGGGGGAAAGAACTGAGGGCTATTTTAGGGGCATATTTTCAGTCCCACACATTCACAGAAATATGAACTTGTGAATAGCAACAGCAAGGTTTTGCTTAACTGTTTGATCCCAGAGCCATGCCATTATTCCTTTTATTTTAAATATGGTTTTGTTCGAGTCAGCTCTTTGCTAATCCAATAATACATCTTGATATTAACCTATTTATATTATACCCATTTTCCTGTGTGACAATTTTACACTTGACCAAACTGTTTGAAAAATTGCCCAGACTGAGTATTTAGTCAGGGAGGGTGGAGGTGGATCTGAGAGTTTTTAAAGCAACATTGAATCAGTGGCCACTGTCAAAAACTTGGAGCGCATATGGAACAAATCCAAGTTGCACATATTTAAAAATTTTGCTAGGATAGAAACTGTATCACAGCCTTCAATTTAAACATTGGATTTCAGAGAAAGTGAGTCAAACAAAATTATGGCTCAAATAATTATCTGATAGAAATTTATTTTGTTTTGGCTCTTACTTATTTATTTACTCAGCTCAACAACCTTGACCCTTCATTCTAAAAAAAGAAAAACAAGATTTAAAAATTTTTTGTTGTTGCTTGTTGCTTCTGAGAATTCAACACAATAGTGATGGGAATTTTATTATTGGCAATGACAAGGAAACAACAAAGACATTTGTCATGTTAGATAATGCTGGAATAATCCTTGGTTTATTATAAACAATGTTAGATACCATCAACAATAAATAAATACCATCAATAATAATAATAATAATAGGTTATGTATATAACTGACAAATTGCATAGATTAACAGTTAACAAAGGTAGGTTGGTGATATACCCAACCGGCAACTGAAATGTTGTTTACATTTCAATAGCTTGCCTGCTGGTTACATAGACACAATTGTACTGACTCTGTAGCTTGCATGCTTTCACATAGACACAATGGTCAGACTCAACAGCTTGCCTGCCGATTACATAGACACAATGGTCAGACTCAACAGCTTGCCTGCCGATTACATAGACACAATGGTCAGACTCAACAGCTTGCCTGCCGATTACATAGACACAATGGTCAAACTCAACAGCTTGCCTGCCGATTACATAGACACGATGGTCAGACTCAACAGCTTGCCTACCGATTACATAATGCCTGCCCATTACATAGATACAATGGTCAGATTCAACAGCTTGCCTGCCGATTACATAGACACAATGGTCAGACTCAACAGCTTGCCTGCCGATTACATAGACACAATGGTCAAACTCAACAGCTTGCCTGCCGATTACATAGACACAATGGTCAGACTCAACAGCTTGCCTGCCGATTACATAGACACAATGGTCAGACTCAGAAATAAATTCATACTCAAAGAAAGGGAGTGACTTGAAAGGTAAAAACAAAAAACAGATTATTTAAAAAGGCATTTAACTTAGTAGTGAGAATATTGGCAGTTTTTGGTTGGGCTGTGTTACTGATCTCATGTGTTCAAGTTCAACTACTTCTGTCCTCCCTTCTCAACTACTTCTGTCCTCCCTTCTCAACTACTTCTGTCCTCCCTTCTCAACTACTTCTGTACTCCCTTCTCAAATTCTTCTGTCCTCCTTTCTCAAATATTTCTGTCCTCCATTCTCATTTAAATTAAAAAAAAAACAACTAAATAATTCAGTTTTAATTATTTATGTTCTATCTCTCATTCATTCTACTACAACAAAAATTACATACATAGATTGGAACAATTTCTCTGAATTTACCCTTTCCTGTGTCTATTTATAGAAAGTCCACTGACTCTTTGATTCGGCAACTACTTCTGTCCTCCCTTCTCAACTACTTCTGTCCTCCCTTCTCAACTACTTCTGTCCTCCCTTCTCAACTACTTCTGTCCTCCCTTCTCAAATTCTTCTGTCCTCCTTTCTCAAATATTTCTGTCCTCCATTCTCATTTAAATTTAAAAAAAAACAACTAAATAATTCAGTTTTAATTATTTATGTTCTATCTCTCATTCATTCTACTACAACAAAAATTACATACATAGATTGGAACAATTTCTCTGAATTTACCCTTTCCTGTGTCTATTTATAGAAAGTCCACTGACTCTTTGATTCGGCATTCTCCTGTTTTGTCACTTGATTTCGTTTAGTCCTTCAGTTTTTGCTATAAAATAATTGTCTCACCAGGCACAAGAGAATCATTCCTTGCACAGAGAAACCTTGGACCTTAAGGGCTATAATTGTAATCAGGATTATCAACATTCTTAAAGTGAAAGGTCAAATATTTGAACTGATTCACTGATTGAAACATAGCTGAAAGGAATAATTATGAACACAGTAATACGGCTACAAGACATTGGTAGGCCATGTTGACATTAAATTTATAAATGATCACCTGCCTCACCAACCTATGATCGCCTGTCTCACCAGCAATAATCAGCTGTCTCACCAATCCGTGATCATGGCTCACAATTATGGCTTTGGTCATGCATGCAGTTAACAAACAACATTCCTTTGCCATAAAATATTTGTAAAAAATCACCCACTCTAGTATAAATAGGGTTCAGAGTGCATATATTTTGACACAACCTTAGCATTAAGGAACTAATCAACATTTGACACAACTTTAGAGTTAATGAACTAACCAACATTTGACACAGTATCATCATGGGCTAATAACATTGAACAATATAAGCAATAAAGAAACACAAGATCACTTTTTGTGGTAAATAGGGTGGGTTATAACAGGAAGAGATAATGCTTTTAGATCACTTGTAACAAGAAATGTTTTAATGCTGGGCCAGATATCATAATTCAGGCTGGGCCAGGTAGCATAATTCAAGCTGGGCCAGGTAGCATAATTCAGGCTGGGCCAGATATCATAATTCAGGCTGGGCCAGGTAGGATAATTCAGGCTGGGCCAGGTAGCACCAGGAATGATCAATAGTTGAACATGGAAGATCAAATGCTGAACACGCCTTCCCCATACTCACCTCAATTGTAAAAATACCTAAGTACTTTATTCAATGGATATAAGTATGTCAAGTTATGTTTTCTGACTACTTCTAGTCAATATTTGATATGTAACAAAATACTTGCAACTACGCAACTAGTTTAAGCTCTTTCATTCATGCGCTACTTGTAATGTGCTACTCTTAATGTGCTTGTGCTACTTGTAATGTGTTACTTGTAATGTGCTACTTGTAATGTGCTACTTGTAAAGTGCCCCAGTTGAACAATTCTTTTTCAGTTCTATTCTATAAATATGAGTTCTTCAATGTCAAAGACATGTTTTTATTTATTCCAATGTTCTCTCTTTGGCTCTGTTTTTCAATCCTCCTACAATTGTGCTAGTTATAGAAAAACCTTAAACTTAAATAAATTTAAAAAAAAAAAAAAAAAATTTAATTACAACAAATTTTTGCTTTTAACTTAGTTAAAAATGTTAACACACATGTTAAAAGTAAAAAAACATTTAGAAATATGGACATTTTTTGACAGAAAGTGTTTAAAGTTATCACATGACATCATCATCTTTGAAATTTGAGAAAACAACAAATATAGAAAAACCTTAAACTTAAATAAATTTAAAAAAAAAAAAAAAAAATTTAATTACAACAAATTTTTGCTTTTAACTTAGTTAAAAATGTTAACACACATGTTAAAAGTAAAAAGACATTTAGGAATGTGGACATTTTTTGACAGAAAGTGTTTAAAGTTATCACATGACATCATCATCTTTGGAATTTGAGGAAACAACAAGAACTAGTACGACAGGTGAGCCAATCTGGAGAGACCAAGCCCACGTAAAGGTTTTAATGAGTAATATGACAGACGAGCCAAACTGGAGAGACCAAGTCCACATAATGGTTTTAATTTTTTTAAGCTCCTCATAAAATTATTTAAAGTTTGTCCCACATTGTGTCTTGCTGTTTGAGGATGTTCAGCATGAGTATAGGTGAACCTTCGAAGACCTGGAGCCATCAGAAAATGGAATTTTAAAATGCTAATATAATTTGTAAAATTAATATTTAAGTATTTTGTGTACGTGGAATGCTCAAGTTGTGAACTAAGTCATGCACACATTGCAAACATTTAACTTGGTGCATCATGTCATGAAGCAGCTCCACTGTTATACTATATGTCATTCTGGCAACTTGATTTGATAACTTTGAGTTAAATGAACTGATGTCAATATATTAACTGGTTGGCAGATAATTCTACCAACTGGTCTTGCTATGATCAAAAGATAATTTTGACCAACTGACGACCATAATGTAGATATTCTCTCATCTTCTCACAAAATTAAACAATTTTTATGGGAAACAGTGGAAACATTGACAAAGAAGACATCAAATTGACAATAAATGTCAGGGTTTTTGGTACAATCAACAGACCTTTTAACATGCCATGTTACACAACCATTGAACACAGTTACATATACAAAATGTATGATAATATATGCACAGCTAAAAACAAAGGAGCTTAAAGAGAACTCAGTGCTCAGAAGCCTCTTAACTCGGTGCATACGGGCCCCTTAACTCAGTGTACACGGGCCTCTTAACTCAGTGCATATGAGCCCCTTAACTCAGTGCACACAGGCCTCTTAACTCAGTGCACAGGTGCTTCTCAATCCAGTGCACATGCACACGAGCCTCTCAACTCAGTGCACAAGAGCCTCTCTATTCAGTGCAGAGGAGCCTCTCATTTTGTGAGCTAAAAATCAGGACAAGAATAGTATGAATGTCGTCAACAAGACTTATGGGAAATATCAAAACCAACACAAGTTTTAATTTATGATAACTCAATTCTAATCTCCCAGGTTGAGAAGCCAAAAACACCAGCTGAAGGCA